ATGGCTTCACTGAGTTACGCAAGTCCCTTCGCCACGACAAGGCAGTGATCCATGAAGGGGTTATTTAGGATATGATGTAATTAAAAGTATGCACTTTGGTATGTGTGACTTTGCTGTATGGGAGTGTTGCCTTTCCTCCAGATGAACAAAATTTCCCATTTTACATTTGAAAAAAGAGCTAGTCTGTAGTCATTCTAGTGATAAGATGCCAAGATAAGATATATTTACTATTCTGCTAGTTTTGTAAGAAAGGGTTGTTTCTGCTCTCTGGTGTTTGTAGCAAATGAATTCTTGCACTAATTGATTTATGCATAATTACAGATTATTATTTCTTTTAAATAAAGAACCTCTTTAGTGGGAAGACTAAAAATAGGTTCATAATAATAATAATAAAATAATTAATAATAATAGGAAGTCCAGGCTTTTGGTATAGCTATGATTTAAGGAGTAGCATGACTATCCAATGCAAAAGTTGGAGCAAATAACCCTAACTCAGTACTTACTGTAAAAAATATGTAATTTTTCTGAGTTAAAAATATTTTAAAGCATCCTAACCAATGTGTACAAGTAATGCCTATTCTTACATACATGCTGTAAAAAGGTAACTAATTCATCATTTGTATTCTACCCAACTCCAAATTCTTTGGGCAGTTTACAAGAACAGTAAAATCAAGAAATAACCCCAACTCAAATATTGTAACAGATGCCACCAATATACTTGACAAAGATAAATAATTAACAATAATAATGTCCTCCAAGTAGCCATCCACATAGATTCCACTTTGCTCATCCAGCTTTCCATGGGTTCAGTAATTGAGTCCTAAGCTGGCCTTATCCAGTCTGAAATCCTGTAGAACTGTTGCAATACTGAATAAGCTGGACCAACAGCTGATCCTATATAAAGTAGTTTCCTGTGTTCCTATTCTAGAACATGTAAGCCTTTTCCTGATAAATTGTGGGCAATTGGCATTTTTTTTTGAGAGAGTCAGACATGCATATCATGCTCTTTATTCCCTTTCAGAGTAATTAACTAAAAAGTGTTATGCAGTGAAAACCCAGTTGGAGGCCTTAGTATTGGTTTTGAGCACCTGCTTTTGCCTTTGAAAGATAGAGAAATCATGGCTGGAGGGCAGAAGGCTTCTTGGCAAAGCTCTGGCCCTCACTTTGTGGAGGGAATTATGATGGAGGGGAAGAGAGGAAAGGCTGTGAGAAGGCAGAGAAGAGGAAACTTGAAGAGTTGAGGGAGAAATTTACAAACAGTAGGCTCTGACTGTTAACCTCCATGCAGGAGAGAGCTCCAGAATCAACTTGTAGCCTGCTAGTGTTTTGCAAGCTAAGATAGAAGAGAAGCTGATTTAAGGCAAAGAGAGCACTTTCTTTTTACCTCCAGCTATCAGGAATGAAAGTGAGTGTCTCCAGAAAGAAATCCTGCATTATTTTAAAAAGTGCTGTTAAAAAAATACTGAATATATTCTTAAGCCTGATGTGCTGTCTTCTGTTATGAAATATGATACTAAACAACAAGGCGCATAAAGAGAAAATGGACAGTTATTTTGTAATGATGTATGTCAGAATCATATTATGCATCTTCAGGTCCCCCAGATGTCCCATCAATTTACTCTTTCCATAGTTCATAGAAACTAAATGGCACAGCCAGGAACTGAGCAGTTGGGGCCCTGTGTATCCATTGCATTAACGTGGTTATTGACTTAGATCCACCCATTGATTGTCTTTACTGGTAATACCTAAAATTAATATAGAAATATATTTTTGCAGTTGGGTTGAGACCTTTGGACATGAAGGACTTGGATTATTATTGGACATCTTGGAAAGACTGGTTGAAACAAAACAGTAAGTCTTCTTCTAGCCAGTATATAATTCTCAGAAAGGATAGATAATAACCAACATGTTATAATTTTTGTATCTTTATTTTCTTGCGTTCAGACAGGACAAGATTCTGAAGAAGCTACAGCATAAGATAATTCAGTGCTTGAAAGCATTTATGAATAACAAGGTCAGTACACTAATTTACTTAATTATTTGAAATTGCAGTTCTACCCATATGGAACTCAGTGAGATTTATGAGATAGGCGCAAGACTCTATGGCCTATAGTGCTAGTTTCAGATTTGGGAATTTTTCTAGTCATGGAAAGAATCAAGATTCCATGAAGGTTGTCTTTGGAATAATCCAAGTCCTGCCCTTTATTTAGTTATTTTTATTAACTAAAAAGTAGTTAAATACTTTTTAACTAAATATATTCAGTATTTTTTTAACTGCAGGAAAGGCAGGATCATGAAGCAGAATCAGTAGAAACTATTTCCTTCCTCTGTTGTGGGTCTGCACTTTAATGAAATCGTTATTTGGTTTGCAATTTTTTGGCTCAAATTTCAGATTGATTCTAATGATAGTTAGAGTGCACAGTTTGCCGATGGTGCAGAAGGGCATCAGGCCTGTATTTTTTTTCAAACCCAAGTCAAATTCTGTATCTGTGGGATCTCATTATTTCCCTAATAAGATTTAAGCAGGTTTTAAAAGCAGTAGCAGGTAAACTGTTTTTCTCAGTGGTGTAGTAATTTAATCATCTCTCCTTGGGGTTATCCAAATGCCGTATAAACATTATGTTTGTGAAAGGATAGCTCCATGTGGTGGTAGAGATAGCTGCCTATGCATATGAAAATAAGGCATTTAGAACCAGGCTCGGTGCGAAACGGGCAGGTTGTGGTCTATTAAATCGCTTGTAAACAGCGCAAACCCTGTCACTGTTAGCAATTGTTTAGTAATTGGCAGAACAAGATTAGTTCACCTTGTTCTGACTGCGAAATAAGTACCTTTATTATTAATGAAATGTTGCTTTATTATGAATCTATAATGTTCGGAAATTGTAAAATGCAGAAGATTTTTTAAAAAAAATTGTGCTGGCTATTCTATTCCTGGGGAAACATTCCTGAATGCTGACCGTCAGTCAAAATTGACACTGACTTGAGTGGAGTCCTGAGGTCATCTTGGCAATGCACCAGTCTAAATTCTGTGTTCCCTTGCTTGTTGCTTCAAAATGGAGACTCTCCATTCATGGCTTCTGCAACAGCTGGAACTCTTTTTTTTTCCCCTGGAAGTATCACAATTGAAAGGCACCGTGTTGGCAAAGGCTGGTGTACATCAGTATTTGGAAAGCCCAGTTTGGGTTATCTTTAAGGACGACAGCCTGTTATTACAGAATAACATGCAGATTTGAGACACAAAGTGAAATTCTGGAACTGAGAATTTGAAATGAGAATTTACGAGGTATAGCTTGCTACTAAATCTTGGGATGCTGTTCTTTCAACTGAAATCCTTTCGAACAAAGCAGGAAGAGTTAAGTACATATGTGGGAACTATTCCAAACAAGAATGGTATATTATGATATTAGTGAATTGCCTAACAGAATGTGGGGTTGTAAAAACATATATGGAGGGGGAGGAAGACTATTAAATAAAAATAAAAATGAATGTTTCAGAAAATTTCAAATTGTTACATAGTTAACATTGCTGATTCCTCTTCTTTGTGGAAGTGCCTTTCGAAAATCTTCATAATTTTGTAGGATTTCATGGGTTTTCTTTGTATGTGGCAACATGGCTAGGCAACTTATGGTATATGCATGTATGCATCTTGTTAATGATCACCTCCTGCCTCCCATTAACTTTTATTACTTGTCCTTTAGTATGGTTTGGAAAGAATAATGGGTGAAGAAAGAAGTTTTTCATTATTGGCCGAAACAATTGATCCCAGACAAATCAGCATGATGACTGATGCAGTTAAACTTCTGTCTGCAATATGTATTATTGGAGAGGAAAACATGTAAGTATAACATTGATGACATTGGTGTAGTCAGTTAATTTAGAACATTTTTAAGGAATTAAATCTTACTTTAATTAGAAATAATTATGTTAAAAACAAAGGCCTGAAATTTATTGAAAGTACTAGTAGTTTTGAGATAATAAACACAGCAGAATGAAGAACTGAATATCTGTGTAACCTTCAAAAGAGGTTTCATAAAGATCCTATGCTTCTGGACAGGTTTTGTGAGGAATTCTAGGCGCATAGAAGTATTTCTACATACTTTTAGTTGGGGTTCTCCATGCTTGGGGGGATTGGTATCAAAGTAGGGATCGTGTTTTTTGCATATGTTTTGCTTTGTGATCAAGTGAGGGTTTCCTGGCACTACAGTTCCAAAGTGGGAATCGCCTTGCAGGATTTATAGTCTGTGTAGAATTTGAACTCTAGTGTGGTTGGTTGGTGATTGGAAGCTTCTGGGAGATGGCCTGATAATTTATTCCTGACCGCAAGACCTTTGAAGTAAATGTATTTAAGATGTGAGGCTTAAGTATTCATGTCTGTTTAATTGTCAACTAATAAATAAGTCTATGTATTGTCAAAGGCTTTCACAGCCGGAATACAATGGCTGATGTGGGTCTTCCGGGCTGTGTGGCTGTGTTCTGGAAGTTTTGATCCTAACGTTTCCCCAGCATCTGTGACCAGCATCTTCAGAGGACAGCAGCACAGACAGCAGCAGTTCCCTCTGTGCAGTTGGGTTGGACAGAACTGCTCCTGTCTGTGCTCCTGTCCTCTGAAGATGCTGGTCACAGATGCTGGCGAAACGTTAGGAACCAAAACTTCCAGAACACGGCCACACAGCCCGGAAGACCCACATCAGCCATAATAATAGGTCTCCCTCCCTCTTATTTATTTACTTACCCCCTTCAGCCTTGAAAAAATTTTGAAAGCCTTGACTACAGCTGCAGAAGAGAGAGGTACTGACCGATTTTGCCCCATTCTGAAGGGTCTTGAGGAGAATTCAGTCCATCTGCAAGTAAGTAATACTTTTTGTGGTATTTTAAAGCCAATAAATGCCACTAATCTAGTAAGTGGACTTGAAGAAAAAGAAAGCCCAGAGCAATTCTTCAATCCTGGATGTAGCTAGACAGACAAATATCTGTAGAATGATTTATGTTGACTTTGTGGGACTAATGGAATGTTGATACTTATTAATACAAATATTATGGAATCAGCTTAACTAAAAACAAATATGAGATCTGGTCCTTCTAATCTGCTGTACTACTCAGAAAAACATCTTTTCTTGAGAATTTAAGGTCCAGTAGTCTGCCATGCAGGCAGGGCAGACAGTAGTTTCATTACTCCTCATGACTAAGTAATTGGAATTTCTTTATAAAATAACAGGGAAAATGTCAGTTCCTGTTCCAGGATTCAATATTCAAAACTGAACCAAAAGCAGAATGCATTCAGAGCCAGTGAGGGAAGGTCACAAACTAGATGCAGTTAGTGGTGAATTCCATTAAATCCCTCTCCTTTCAAACAGATAAATAACACATTTAAGGTACCAGCATCTTTCATGGGAAAAGGCAGCTGCTTCTTTTTTTTGCTCGCTTTCCACACACAAGAAAGAATAAGCAAATGTATTCATGACAGAAGTCTGAAGTTGAATCAGAAGATCAGCATCGTGAAGCATGTAGCAGGCTGCAGTACTGATGTCTTGAGTGAGACTGTTGCTTTGTGAAATCATGCATCAATGTTTTTGGCAGGAATCACTTAAAAGGTAGAGAATTGTCCAGTACACGGGGAAAATCTTTTCAGTGCCAGAACTGGTCACACAAAGGACCATATCCCCAAAATGAAAATTACTGAAAGAAAGATATCGGTGATGTAGGGTTTATTATATTTCTTGGTGGTGGCCCTAAGGACTTAATTCTCAAGCCACCTTTCCAGTTTGAGAAGCAGCTGCTGCAGTGGCCCTCAAAATGCTTATTGCTTGTTGATCAGGGCTACCTTACAAAAGAAATTTTTGGACATTACAAATACTTTTCTTTTCAACATGCCCCACTTCAATAACTGACTCCAGAATTGCAGTTATGGATTAAATCATGGGTTTTTACAAGAAAACATTTCGGCCTAAGGTTAGTACTTAACCAAGGGAAGCCTACATCCAGACACCAGATGAGGATGATATTATGGAATCTGACAGACAGTTGCTGATGGACATCAGAACAGAAGGATCATCATATCAATTACCCGATGATTTTTATTATGTCCTGATATGTAAAACCATAGAACTCAAAGAGGGTGTACTTTCTTTTTCACACGACTGTATCTAGAATTCCTAGCAGTGGGATGGTCATTCATTAAACTGGCTGTTACACTCAGAAAATGGGAATGGTCTGTCCTATGCAACTTCTCTAATTAATCACTTGCCAGGTTGGAAAAACTAACTGCATAGATACTTTCAGTTAAATAATGACGTGACAAACTCAGGTTTCATCCTAAGGTTGTGCTATCATGATTTTGGAGGGGAGGGACACTGGTTCCATTTTTTTCTATGAAAGATACAGTTAATTGCTTTTGTTTTTTCAGCAGAGGAGATATGATATCAAATCTCTTTTTTGAACACAACATTCCTATACATACTGCCTATCGGTGTCATCTAGAAAGACAGACAATGCCACCTGATTACCTAAAAAATGCAGTAGCTACACTTCAGTTTTAGCCCTTAAAATTCTCTTAACTGTAATAGCAGGGGCACCTTCTGTTGTTTTAAATATAATATTTTGTTTTAAATAAAGAACAATTCACTGGAATTTTGTGTTTATCCAGTATTTGTGAAATTTGAATAACCTGGATTTAAAATAAAAAGAAGTTTGAATATATTCATTACCATTTCTTAAGTTTGTCTGTAGATGTGTTGACTGATTTTCTTTTGACAGATAAAAATGGAAACGTTGAATAAGCCCCTGAAATTATATATAGGCATTCTCTTTTTATTAACATTATTTTTACAGGTAACACTCTCCCAACTATACAGAGACATTTGTTCATGATATGAAAATTTCATAACGTTCATAGCAATAAAATATTAAGTCATTGGTGGCTATGGCTGAATGGTCTGTTTTTTCTGGATGTTTCACAGTCAGAACATACTATGAAGGCAATAACATAAACAAATGAAGGCTAAATTCTGCAGATTAAAATGGTTGCATTTTGTAGATAGCTTGTATGCAGTTCATCAATGCCCTGATTACAACTCCTGATGACCTGGACTTCAGACTCCATATTCGAAATGAATTTATGCGATGTGGATTGAAAGAGCAACTGCCGGTAAGTATGTGTATGTGTGAATTAATATTTAAATTAGAAGATTGGGATGAGAAGGAGCTGTGTGAAATGTCTTGTGGAATTATTTATTAAGACAGAACAAACTCTAGCCTGTAAAAATTGTTTCACAAACTATATATTTGAATAGCATATATTCCCCAAATATATTAGCTTTTGATACATGAATTTTGTTCAAAATAACTCATTTTAATATGCAGCTATTAATTACAGTATTGTTGGTGCTTTTCCACTGCAGATGCTAAGATGTATAAGGAATGATGCTTTGGATATCCAGCTGAAAGTGTTCAGTGAACACAAAGAAGAAGATATGATTGAATTTTCTCACCGTTTAGATGATATCAGATCAGAATTCGAATATCCTTTAAAGAAAAACTGGAAATTTGCAGACAATTAAACCAGACTTGCTGGCAAGCATCCAAACAGTGATATCATTTTTGTGATTCTTAGTTGAATTAACTTATGTGGTCAACTAAACTTTGACAACAGTTCTCATTATCTTGTGATAGATAAAGGTGGGAATTATGGATATACAGTAAGAATTGCTATGTTGTTCCAAGAAGTTCTTGGAAAAAAATCATAGTTTGTGGTGGATGCCTCATTTTGGGCCAAATACATGAATCAATTTTCCTCACAAACTTAAAACATTTCACGTTATTATTTTACATAACAACTTATGTAAATTATTTTACCTAACTCCATTATTTTATGTAACAGCTGCAGCAAAAATCTAAATTCATCTTGAAATCTATAATTTATAAACCAAGTTTGATATTTTATCCTTAATTTGATTACTGATGCAAATGATGTTTATAATATACTGTGGAATACTGTTAAGGATACAAATGCAGAGAGCCACTTCCTTTCTATACTGCAACATCTCTTGCTGATAAGAAACGATCATTTTATACGGTAAGGAAATAATCATATAGTATGAAAATTGGCTGAAGCTCCTATTTGGATATTTGTTATGGAGTATCAAATATTATGTAATCTATTACACATTTCATTACATAAAGTTTCATAGAAGACTTTCAAATCTGAAGTTTAAAGTAGATTTGTGCAACATTTGTCAAGTCAAGTGTGGCAGGTCAAGAGCCATAGCCTAATTTGAGAGAAAATTTCCCAATGTTTAAGGGTTGAAATGTTCTTCCTTAAAATCTTGTAGCTCCCCCAAAATACAGAAATAGGTCTCTAAATGTTGGGCTTTCCCAATGGTGTGGAGTCACAAGAAAGGTGTGGGCAGGCTGTGTATGTGGCCTCTGGATTTAATTTTCAGGATAGTGGAGAAACTTGCCAGAGAAAGGCTGTCTTGGTTCTAAGGCTGCTAGTGAGCTGGGTTTTTATAATTTGGGTTTGGCATAAGGAAGTATTTGTGATTAATTTTCTTAATGGGTAATATAATCTTAGCTATGATTTTGAGAAAGAAAGAGATTTCTGTGGTGGAACCAAACTGATTTTTCTGGAAATATTCCTCTTCTGTCGTTACGCTGATTGTATGAGTAGGTAATTTAAATAAAACAGTGACTTTGCGAGAAGGTGTTATAATGAGATGAGTGAAGTGCTAGACTTTGACTAAAGACACCTAGTTTCAGGCCTCTCCTTGAACGAAAATCTTACTGGGGAGGGATGACTTTGGGCCAGACATTCTCCCAACCTACCTTGCAGGATCTTTATTATGAAGTAACATTCAAAGAGAACCCAACCTAGGCCATCTTGAGCTCACAGAGAAAAGGCAGGCCATTTAAATGCATTCATATATAAAGGAACAAGAACACTTGGAAAGTAAAAAACAGCTTGACATTCAGAGGTGTAAATCTCTTGTTCAAGACTGCCAGTTGCTGCTCACTGAGTTTCAAACATTAATTTCTGTTAACATGTTTATCGCACAGATGATCAGTGTCCCTGAAGACTGACAGATAGCATATTTATTTCCTCTGTTGGTTTTACTTTTTTTTTTTTCCTTTTTGAAGTGCTTTTCTACCCAGTTATTTACCCAACATTAAACCTTGTATGATAGAAGTTGGTGTTCACTGTAAAATGTTGTGGGTAGAAATGGGTAGAAACAAGAGTCTTTTCATATAAGCACTTTTGTAATTGTTCTAATTAATGTTGTGAGATAAATGTTGTGGGATAAAGACTTGCGATTCAAGTCTTGAATCAGTAGATTTTTACATGGCAAAAATAAATGGAAGTAGGAAGAAGCGCAGAGAAGCCTACCAAAGAAAATGGTATATGGAGTAGACATAAGAGAGTAAGAAACATTAAAAATATGTGGGGGCACTGTGCTTTGAGCCCTCAGTGGAGTGTTCCTTAGTTGCAAAGCAAAACGGCATTTTTCAGCAATCCTTTGCACGTGGGCACAGAAAATACACCCACTGAAATGAAGTGAGTGGCCATGATACTGTGGTGGAGCACCAAAGCAAAGCTACTTGCTTTTCTCTTTTGTGGCAAAACTTCACCCCAGCAATTGAAGTCAAGACTGCTTTGCAAAGTGAAATGTTGGTTCACACAGCCTAATAAGAGCTCTCCTGGATCAGGCCAATGGTCTGTTTCTGTTTTTCAGACTTGGCAACTTGAAGATGTGAAGAATTCTGGGAGTTGAAGTCCACACATCTTCAAGTTGCCAAGTTTGAAAAACATTGGTATATCTAATCCAGCATCCTGTTTTGAACAATGATGAACTAGATGCCTACAGACATCCAAGGAAAACATCAATATAAACAGAGCTGTATTGGATCAGAGCAAAGCATGTCCAGTTGTCCTACTTCCATAATCCTCTTATGCAGGACGTAAGGGAAGCTCATTTTTCCTGACATTCCCCACTGAGAGGCATGCTGATATTCTGTCAGATTTTGTAGGCGCTTTGTCAAGTGATAGGATGGATCATGGGTTCGCAAACTTCCATCCTGCTTAGTCCTGTTTCTGAGACATATTTAATTATTCTCCAGTTAACGTTAGCCAGGGTTCAGTCTTGAGAAGACTGACAGAAGTCTTAAATCCTAGCTCATATCAACCTTAGAGTATGAATAAGTTGTGCTGCATTAAAAGTAATATCATCTCAGAAGTGTATAATTAAAATACATACTTTTCTTGTCATTTCTTTAGACCTTTGTATTTCAAGTTAATCGAAGAGTGTGTTTCACAGGTAGTCTTACATCGAAGTGGTCTGGACCCAGATTTTAGTTACCGAAAAAGGCTGGATGTAAATTTCAGTCACATACTGGGTAGGTTATTTGTATTACATATTTATATTCATATGAAAGATTATATTTTTAAAAAATGAGTTCCTGCCCAGATTTCATAGGGACTGTTATTGTATCATTGTACGCCACCCAGGGTCACATTCGTGAGATGGGAGGCCATTTTATTTTATTTATTTATTTAGCAAATTTATATAGCCGCCCATTTCACAGAAAGTGAGTCTGGGTAGCATACAATAATTAAATAAAACAATACATATTTTAAAACAAGGATTATTAAAAATGTAAAACAATCAATTATTAAAAATACAAACCACCAGGCACAGGCGAGAGTAGATATGACCCATCTTAAAATGTTACCAATCCTCTGGGATCCCCAGGCCTGCAGACATAGCCAGGTCTTGAGGGATTTATGGAACAATAACAAGGATGGAGCTAACCTCACTTTGAGGGGGATAATGTTCCATAAGGTGGCATATGGCAGAGAAGGCCCGCCTACTAGGACCTGCCAAATGTAAGTCTCTAGCAGATGGGACCCGAAGCATACCTTCTCTGCCAGATCTGATGGGGTGGACAGATGTAATCGGGGAGAGGTGGTCCCTCAGATAACCTAGCCCTATGCCATGAAGGGCTTTCAAGATTAAAACCAGCACCTTGAATTGGACCCGGAAGCAGACTGGCAACCAGTGCAACTCGCGGAGCAGAGGTGTGATATGCTGTTATGGAAGTGCACATAGCTGCCCGTGCTGCTGCATTCTGTACCAGTTGAAGCTTCCAGACACTCTTCAAGGGCAGCCCCATGTAGAGCGCATTACAGTAGTCCAATCTGGAGGTGACTAGGACATGAGTGACCATGAGCAGGGCCTCCCGATCTAGGAATGGGTGCAACTGGTGCACAACACAAAGCTGTGCTAAGGCCCTCCTAGCCTTGACTACCACCTCTTCGAGCAGGAATCGTGGGTCCAGGAGGATCCCCAGATTACACAGTGGGTCTACCTGGGGCAGTGCCACCCCATCCAGCACCAAATATGACATAGTCCTAGAACCATGAGGCCCCCAAACCCAAAGCCACTCAGTCTTGCCAGGGTTCAGCTGAAGCCTGTTGTTCCCCATCCAGATCCTCACCACCTCAGTGTACCTACTTGCAATACATGTTTTCGTGATCCTGACACACTTACAAATGCCATTTCCTTGAGTATCTATCAAAATATATAATGTTATTGCCGAACTTCTCTGATACTTATGGAGGAAATACATCCAAAATGATATTTCTGGCCTCCACCTTGCTCTTCCTGAATTGTTCGCCCCAAAGTATTCTCCAAGCCAATAGTTTTGCATAGGTTAAAATATGATTTTTAACATGTTTTTTGTTTACACAATGATTTTTAAAGTGCTTTATGAAAATTTTAGTCATTGGGGTTTGAAACTAGCTGCATAGCTGTCAGTCGTTAATGGAAGCAGGTTTTTTAAAAATTTGTTTCTACTTAAAATAATTAAGTAATCTTTCTTGATATACTGACTGTACAGATTTGTTTGATCTCAAGGTTGGGTATGAGTTAACATAAATCTTACTCTTGCTATTGACTGTTCTCTGAGACTGGTAAGGCAGTAAAAGCTATGTAGAAGATTTATATAGACTGTTTTCTGCTAGATATCTGTATTGAACAGAAGAAAATGGAAGAACTTGAAGGAAAAGCTTCAGAATTCTCGAAAAAGGTGAGTAATTTTAGAGAAGTTTTATTTACAAACCTACAGATTTTAATGTCTGGATGACTTCTAATCTCTCAGACTTGAAACAAGGTTATTTTATAAGAGGCATGATAACAAAAATAGAGTTCTGCATTTTAGCTTTAGTTTAAAACCTAGTTGTTTGATCCAAAATAGATGGCCACTTTTCCCCCCTCCTTTCTAAAACATAATAGCTGGAAGGGATTTTGATTGTGAAATGTTACTGCTGCCCTGATCCACAGCTGGATGCTACAGCTGCTTTTCAATAAAGTATCAAGAGTTCAATCAAACAGTTTATTATGTGTTTCTGGCCCTTGGAGTGTGCATTTATCAGTAACAGTGTTTGTACATCAGCTTCTTAGCTTTCATCTTTGCTTCCTTTTATTTGATGCAAAACAAACAGATATTGTTATGATTGGAAGAAATATTGAGGAAATGTTTTAAGAAATTTCACTAAGGAAAAATCATGATGGTTCAACAGTTCTTCTAAATCCTGGGTGGAAAATTTGTGTCCCTCCATTTGTTACTAAACTACAGTTCTCAGGTGTCTCAGTCATGTTCCACCAATATAACTCTTATTTATGTACTGTGTCAAAAACAGCATTGCTATAAAAAAGCCAGGCATCTGCTATTCTACAGTAGGACCTGTTGCAAGATAAATTGTCTTTGTTACTGGAATTATTAGGCTACACCAAGGGAATTTGAACGTGTGGCTTCCCAGCACCCTCTGTTGTGCCCCCCAGAGCATCCCTGAAACGGACAGGTCCAAATTTTTTGGCTATTGTTGGGAGGTTTGGTGGCCTTGATCCTTAAGAACTTCCTAAAGAGGGACAAAAAGGATATGGTTAGAAACATGTTGTCACTTGAAGGGGTGAGGCCAATTATTATCTAGTACAAATTAATTAAAAATGGGGCAAGCGGTTTCCCATGCCTGGACTAAACTGTATAAGGTGTGGTCTTTATGTAGCAGTTTAAAGGATACGGCTGTTAGATGTCACTTCCCCAGATTCATATTAAATTCAAGGAAAAGAAAAGTGGCTAGTGTGACTAATTATGGAAGTCTTCACACATTGCACTTGTCTTCTGGTAAAGAAGAAAATCACAGTGGTAATAAAACCCTTTGCTTGCCTAATAGTGCCATGAGTAAGTGCCAGTTTCCAATCTAATAAACTGGTGTCCTTTAGGGAAGTGGTGGTTAGCATTTAAAATAGCATAATATTAAGGATGAGATGAAAGTAGTCTTGAATCCAGTGGATTAATTTGTTGAAAATATCCAACAAATATCTTTACAGCAACCTGGAACTGGTGTAACAGTTTTTCCTGCATAGACACCAGTAATGCAGTTTTAAGAAAAGACTATGAAAATCAATGTACTTGTCAAGAGGAAAGCAGAGTCCAATCCATCTCGCTCCCTGGTTTTGAAGTAAAAGTCAGTTTGATATTTCATACCTCCCCAGAGCCACTTAAGATTGCATAATATGTAAATCTAGGCAATATAGCATGGAAATACTCAAGGCAATGAACAATTACACCAGTAAATTTAATGATATACAGTACCTTCTCATTTATGTTCTAGTTTGAAAAAGAGTTTGTAGCTCATCAAGAGACAAAGGCACAGCTTCAGAAGACTGAAGAAAAGATTAGTCTCCTTGAAGCTGGAAGAAAAGCTTATAAAAATGAGGTAAAAAAAATCTGTATTCATAATATACTGTTTATGCAGTTAGAATAATTAACAAGAAGCTTATATGTTATGCTACTATATTAATATTATGAAAATTAATAAAAGGCTTCCATTCCTTATGTTCTGTCATTTCTGAATAAGAAGTACATAATGGTGGTGATTTTTCAGTTCTTCCAGCCTCTGGCCTTGGTGCGAAAGGCTTGTGTTGGAAGCAGCTCTTTTGTTGAGAATGATGGCTATGGCACTTGAAATGCAGTTGTAGAATAGTGAAAATGGGAAGGAGGGGATAGCTACTGGTTGACAGACACATTGCTCCAGTGGTTTGCTCTAAATTAATTTGCCTCCATTTTAATGGTCCAGGTTGTTATACATCTCTCATAATAGAAATTCCTCAGAATATTGTTTGTATAGACTCTCATATTTTTGGTAGTGTGATGTGACACAGATAGCAACAGTTTAGTTCCTTTTGGTGCTTCTTGGCTTCTAAAGAGTCTTGCAAGTTGTTTTCCATCTTCTGAGGTGGTATAACAATTTTTTTTCTTGTTATTCAGCCTAGTGACACTTTATACTTTATGTTTCTTTGTCCAGATGTACAGTTGATGGAATGTAGCATCTTGCATCTCTGTCCTTCATCTTCATTTTCATCATTACCAACATCTTGCTCATCTTGCGCTCTTTCCATTAGAGAAGAAAAAATAATCAGGTGGATAAGTCTTAGGAGAAGAAAAAGGATTATCTTGAGCTGTCTGATGGGACAGAAGACCATCTTTTGAGACATGCCAGTTATCTCATAATTATGTTTCTCAGAATTTAGAAGAAGCATAGTTACGTTTAACCTTAAAACTATACTAATGGGAATATTAAGCAATTCCCTTATCACCTTCACTGGCTCTTTGAAAATGGCTTTTTCCCTAAGGCTGACTTTCATCATAATATGCCAAAGAGTGTTAGTGTCCACCTCCTCAGTCAGATGTAGCCTGGAATAAGCAGTCTGTGCTAGGACTGCTCATTTAGACATTGTAGATGACGCAGTGGCCCCAGTGAAGTCCATTGCAAGAGTCAACACAGGATATGGTATTGCTGGAAGTGTTAGTGCTGGATTGCTCCTGTATGAAGAAAGACAACAGTAGTCGGAGTTGCTCTGTTTTATAGTGAAGCATTCTGTAACAGGAATGAGGATCCATGCATATAAAAGCATGCATAGTGTAGAAAATATGGCATTTTCCTCCCTCTCTTATAGTGCTTAGAACTCCAGATCACTGCTTAAACCAAATGCAGGCAGGTTCAAGATTAATAAAATGGAAGTACAGTAACCCCTTGGTTTAATGGACTAATAGAGGGGGAAATGTCTGTTAGCGAAATAGTCATTAAATGTGAATGGGACTTACACATCTGTAAGAGCATACAGACAGCATTTTTCTGCTTTATCTGAAGATTCCTAGACTGTTGCTAGCTAACAAGTTTTTTTATTTTTTTATATGTAGCTAGACAATGAAAGATGCTATCTCAGATATAGCAATGCCTACAAATTTAGTCAGTCTTAAAAGGGGGCTATACAAATTCAGTGGCTTATCTTCATGTAGGGCACATTTTAAATACCAGCTAGTAGTTAGTAGTGATGAAAGAGAGTTATTGCCCTCTGTTCTTGTGACCTCCCTGAATGTACCTCCTTGGCCATTATGTAACAGAATACTGGCCAAGATTGTCCCTTGAGTTCCTCTTACTTATGTTTGTTATTTTATTTTAAAGAATTTGTCATCAGTTTGTTATCAGTTACTGTCTTCCCTCCCTCCCTCCCTCCCTCCCTTCCTTCCTTGTTGGTCTGCTGGATATCCCATCTCATCTGTGAGCTACTTCAAATTAATTGCACTTTTGATGGATGATATTCCCTTTTGGGATGTTGTCTGTTGTGAGTCTGGAAATGCAAATGCTATAAGCCCTGTAGTGAAATATGATTTTTTCTTTTAAAAAAAAAGTCAAGTTGTACCCCTGGGCAGATCAGACAGAAGTGGCTATTGTGGTTATGAGGCAGTACATTGAGGTTTAGGGCTTTCTTGAAACAGTATATTTTAAATTAGTTTATATATTTAAAAATTATAAAATAAATATCCTTATTTGTTGCTTTTCAGTGAACCAAACAAAATGGATTAGATAGAAACCTTACAATAATTGACATTTTCTTTTAAAAACCAACACAAGCTAAATTAAAAGGTGAAATATACATAATTTCTCACCTTAGGGCAAGATAGTCCTTGAGTATTCCTATGGTAGAATTTATTTAGGATATATACTCATACTCACACTTACAAGAAAGAAAAAATAGAAAAATATAGAAATAGAATCAGGTAAATAACAAGGAATTTACAAATGTGATTAAGTTAATGGTTTTTCCACATTCATAAATGATTAAAGATACCTGATATGTTTGATCCCAAAACTCACTATTAAACTTTATGCACAATACAAATATCAGGATAACAAATAACACAGTAGGGATCACACAATAAAATTATGAAATTATAAATTGCAATGAATTCTTTTTAAAAGAATAAAGGTTACTCTTAATATATAAAAGAAAGAGTAAAGAATATAAAAGTAAGAAAAAATAAAGAGTTAGAATCATTAGAACATTACAGTTATTAAAAACTACTTGCTTACAATTTGTGTCCTGTGTCCTCCCACCCCATTATACCCTGGCTGTTGAATGGAACCAGTATATTAGGAAAACTTCTGATTTCTATTTGAATCCTTTCACCCATCCATTCAATTTTCCTTTTCCCTTAGAAACCATATTCTAAATGTCTGTTTGCCTTGTTGTGTAATGTATTATATATAGGGGAGCCATTCTTGAACTGAATTTACCTATGGTGGAATTTATTGATCTGTATTTTATTGTTTTGAAAGAGACAGTGTGTGAGTGCACACTTACTATGCAAAGTGTTAAATTCAAAACATCAACAATTTCTTCTTTTCAGAATGGCTCAACTAATGCTTGTCTGCTGACATCTGTTGAAGGACCCACACATCTGGTTCCATCAGCTGATGCCCCATCAGATTTACAACCAGCTTTAGGATCGTCCACTGGGAGTATTCCACCTCCACCTCCTCCACCCCCATTACCACCTTCCTTCGCTAATGGTTCAAAAAACCATCCTTCTTTGGGTATTCCCCCACCCCCACCTATGTTACATGGACTGCCTGGAGGCCAGTGCTCTCCTCCTCCTCCTCCTCACGTGCTGCCTTTTGGACTGAAGCCTAAAAAAGAGTTTAAGCCTGAAGTGACCATGAAAAGACTCAACTGGTCCAAGGTAAGACAAGGACACAAAGTATCTCATACACTGCACTGTGGAAATAAATTCTAAGAAGCTAACCAATTACACCTTAGTTTTTAATCTAAGACATAGCAAGCAGTTGCAACGGAGACGCTACACTGGAGAGGAGGAAAGTGCTGCAGCTTACCAGCGCCATTATTCTTTGGTGGGTGTTGGGTTGATATCATGCAGATACTGACTTGGCAGTTCCAATTTCACAGCTAGGGACATCAGCTTTTCTTCCCCCTTCATTGTTCCTCAGCTTCTTAATTTTCAGTGGGCTGCCATTATAAATAATTCTCACTTTGTGATACCTTTGAAGGCAATTGTTGCTTTGTGCTTTGAACTTATCTGACTTTTCGGTTCAGTAATAATCCTTCATGAATCTATTTAAAGATGATGATGTCCATGCTATTGTGGTTTAGATATCCTCAACAATCCAAATATCCATAGTATGTTTTTTGCCCTTATACTAGCATTCTAATGAATAGTGTTCATCTGTTGAGGAATATCCTATTTCTGTAGCTGATCATTTGGAATTAGGTCAGAAGTACACAACTTGTTTTAATGTTTTTTGTAACAATTTTTAAACCACCCAGAGTCACTGGGAGTTGGACATCAAATAATATTTTTAAATATATAAACAAACTTCTGATTTCTTTTGGGCTACAACCAGTTGAAAGCCACACTTCAAAAGGGAGTGGTGATAGCACTAAAAGTAAACCTGATTTTTTGATGGGGAATTAGGTGTTTTAAAGACTCTGAAAGAGTTAAAAACACACATTGTATCCTATAAATCTACCCACATCCTCCAGAAGAGACCAGTTTAGTTCCACTGAGAAATGTATGCAGCTTGTAGATGGCTGGTGGCCTTCACATTGCCATAAATGACACTTTTTGCACCCCTACAAAGTATGGCATTAAAGATAACATGAAATTATCATATTATATTGCCTTTGCAGATTAGACCACATGAAATGACTGAAAACTGTTTCTGGATAATGGCAAATGATGGAAAGTATGAAAGTACTGATCTGCTATGCAAGCTGGAACTTACCTTTTCTTGTCAGAAAAATGGTAACTAACCGATTTTTCTGATTTAAAATTGTTCTTTTAGAAAATGAGCCTATTTTATTTTCAATAAAGATCTGCAGCACTTGTCACTACAGTTGATGAGTACTTATCCATGTCACTTGATAATCGTTACATTCATAACTGAGGTTACAATCATTTATAATTGCAACACATGGAATAGAACTTAGCCAATAGTATTATTCACTTTTCCATTTAAGCTGTCCTTGTATAATGCAATTAAGACAAGCATGTATTTACTGCAGAAATATCTTCATTGAACTGTTAAAATATATTATAGACTATGGAAAGTATGACTCAAAGTTGAGAAAACATATCATGTATTTTGGTTACAACCAATAATTTTTGGGGTATCTGATTGTGCTGTGCTAGTTCTTTTTAAGGTATGCTAAGCCCTTTTGAAAAATAATTCTCCCATCTAATATACTGAAACCTAGAAGGAATAATGACCAAAGGAGAGTATTACAAGTTACATTCAAATTGAAAATAGTTTAAGGACCTCAGTACAGAAAATGCAAAAAGTGAATTCTATCACTACGTTCTCTGAAAATGTGATGTTCAGGGGTGGTAACTATTCAATTATATTGGCTTGGTTCAAATGAATACTGAAATTATGGTTCAGTTTAAGAATCCCAAATATTTGTAGACATTTATAACTGAAGTAGTGGCCAGGTTCAAAAATTTGCTTAGTGACCTTGTGCTTGTACTTTCTGTGTGCTTGTTCATTCTGCCTATCTTTCCTCTTGGTGTTTATGTGCATCATTCTATCACTTGGCTGTCTTTTCCCCATAAACTTGTTAAGAAGCAAGAGTTGAGATCAAACCTTCTACCTAATATGTAAGTGGTAGCCAAACACAGCTCTACATATTCTACTAACTGGTTTGTTGAAACAAAACAATCTTGGCAGCTGAACCATATATAAATACATGTAAATAAATAAAAACAGGAATAAGTTGTTGCCATGGTTGACTTGTTTTGGTGTGAAGATAATTTATATTTCCTTTCTATTTTGTCCTTTTGCCCTATATTTTTATTAACATGATCATTCATTAGATAGTATTAATCTTCATGGGAAAGATGAATAGAGTTCGAAACTTGTGCATAACCCATACGCCTATAGACAGACATAAACACTTTCCTTGGACAAAGAGTGTCAGTTGAATTCTTCTAAGGAAGTAGGTTGTGTGGAATTCTTCATTCACGATCAGTGAACCTAATATTCCAGCTAATCATGAATACCCAGTTCCAAATATGAAATATGATCCCATTTTCCATCCCTAAGAAACCTCATCATTACCCTGAGTTTATTCAGGATAACATTCTGTAGATGCCTTGTCAGCAACTGGTAAAATTTGAATACTTATCTAACAATAACATGTCACTGATTCCCTAGGGCTTTGGTGTGCTATATTTATAATTTCAATACCCATGTTTAAGGTGTCAGGTGGTAGTACTCGTGTATTTTTCATTCAATAATCATCCTTCTCATGTTTTCAGGGTTTTTGGTTTTTTGTAATCTAGTATTTTGTAGCATTTCAACTTGTTCGGTACTGTATTTGTTGGACTGGCTTGTTTTCTTAAATCTTAAAAACAAACAGCATTGGCAAGTGAAAGATTTTCTGTAAATATGCAGATAACGCTTCTGTTTCTCAGTGGCCCACTTCATGACAATATAGCTCTTGTTCATTACTAGCTGAAACGAGAAATAAAGGTGGCAGCAGGTAGGATGGTTCTGCTTGAATAAGGCCTGATGCATCACAAGCCATCAGTACAATGACAGAGCAATGTGAAGGACTGTTTGCTGTTCAGTACTGAGATTTGAATACAGGTAGCCCTCGCTCAGTGACTGTTCAAAGTTACAACTGCGCTGAAAGAGGGGGACTTAAAACTGGTCCTCGTAGTTGCAGCTGTCACAGCATCCCCACAGTCACGTGTTCACGATTCAGGCGCTTGGCAACCATCTTGCAATTATGACGGTCACAGTGTCCTGCAGCCACATGATCACCGTTTGCAAACTTTGCTGCCAGCTTCCGACAAGCAAAGTCAACAGGGAAGCTTGCAGGATGTTGCAAGTGGCAGTCACGTGACCATGGGACACTGCGACCACGTAGGATTCGCCTAACAATGACAACTGGAACTGCCCCAACTGCCGTCATAAGTCAGTGCGGTTACGTGATGTGCTTTACAACCACATCATTTAATGATGGAGTTGCCAGTACTGATTACCATCATTAAGTGAGGATTACCTATAAATGAAGCTGGCTTAAGTAATTCACAGCACATTGGAGCATTGTATAATGGAATGGAGTATTTTGGTACATACCTAATTTGAAACTATATTGGAAGTTTAAATTCTATGCAAGTGTAGTAATATAAACATTGCTATATATTGACACACACCATTTCTCTTGACAGCAAAGAGACATGAAGGTTTTGAAGAGAAGAAACCTATTAAGAAACGAATCAAAGAACTCAAAATCCTGGATCCAAAGATTGCACAAAACCTTTGTAAGTGAATAGCTGTTATTATTTGAAGAAACATTGTGCATTAATGTTACTTTTGAAATTCAAATTTTAAATATAATTCTGCTTTGTAATATGGCTTTGGCAGAAATAATTTCAAGTAATGAGTAAATGGGGAAACATTGTATTGTAAAGAACAGAGCCTTGAAAATGAAGGCACAGAAGTTGGAAAATATATATATATATTTAGTATTCATTTTAAAACAACACTAACTTAAATTTGGTTTTAAAATTTGAGCTTTTTTTTAGGCTGCGTTTTTTGTAGCACTTCCACCTTTATTCGGTGAATATTCTTGCTTTTTTGCTCTTATTACAACAGTTGTTTCTTCTTCTGTCCCTTCCTTCTGGTGCTTTTTTCCCATCCTCCTAATATTTCAGCCTGGTTCTGATGCAGTGCCAGATGATAATCTAGGGACTCATACATGAAGTCTTCACATACTTTGATTTATTTATGGTCAAGGACTCCTCTCCGCAAATGGGTGGGGGAATACACCTATAACACAGAACACAGTAAAAGAGATTGGTAATAATGACGTAAAGCCACTAGAAATAAGCAGGCGCACTCCCCCACCCCAAATAAGAATCACACCCAAGCCTCCTAAGGGCAGGATTTTGTTACATTTCTGGACATTGATGAAGACTTTTAGTTTCATTCCCCAATTAATGAGGTGCACCTTGATAACACTGGGGGGAGTCAAAATTCCTGCTGCCACCAGTCAGCCCGTGACTTCTCCTCCTCCACCTGTCCACCCTAACCAGTATTCTGTCACTCGTGCTATTCCTGTCGATGTCCCCTCCCTCCATCCCTCCCTCCCTCCCTCCTAGTGTTTGGAAGCCACAGCCTGCTTTCTTAATTCACTTGCATAATTATTTATTTGGGGCATATTCATCCCGTTTGAATTGGACCTGTATTGCCTCCCAAAGCAGATGCGAGAGTAAGTTCTCACACAGTCAGTGAAAAACACTGCGATCAGGCTGGACTCCTCCAACATCAAGATGTTCTTCCTAGAAACACTTTAGTGCTTAAGTTTGATTTGTCTTTCTCAAATAAAAATATACTGAAATACCTCTCTGTGTGTGTTTAGCTATTTTCTTAGGTTCTTTTCGAGTACCTTATGAAGAAATAAAAATAATGATTCTGGAAATAGATGAAACCCAGCTATCAGAATCCATGATCCAGGTGCAGTAAATTGATGAACAGTTTTATAAACAAGTATTCATAATAATTAGGTCTTCATAAAATCTACCACATTTGCATTAAAATATAAGAATGCACAAAGTTATTATCTATACAGACAACCATAATTTTGTGTTCATACACCGACACAATTTGGTATTATCACCAAAGTTGGCAGATTATATCTACTGCATTTATTGCACTTGCTGTTTTTATTAATACAATGAAGCTTTTGAGGTTTAATAACTGTTTCTTTTATACTGTGTGTATGAGCAGATTTCTCTAAGATATGGCAGTTGGAGAGTTTAAAAAATGTAACAAATAGCCTACTGAGTTTGGCATTTATTTCTTAGGATTTTTAAGGGGTACTTAAGTTTTAAGTAATAAATACTTTTCCGTTACTGTATATTTTCGGCTTTGCTGTCTTACGAGACTGAAGAGAAGGTTATCTCCTTTCTGTTTGTCCAACTAATTATGCAAAATAAAGCCTCACAGAACCACTTGTGAAGAAAAGGCTATCAAAGTTTTAATTTCATATCTTTCCATGGAATGTAGAATTTAATAAAGCATCTTCCTGAACAAAAACAACTCAACGAATTATCCAAGTTGAAGAATGAATATAAGAGTTTGTCTGAACCAGAGCAGTTTGCTATTGTGGTAAGTAGATTGCTTCTCTTCAAAATATCATGAATTTCATGTTGGTCCTTTTCTGTGAGTCTCTTGTTGTCTTCTAGTTGCTTCTCTGTGGTTGTTGGTAGTCAGGACTGAGTTAATCATCTGTCACATTAAGTTTCTGATATGATTTTTAACCAACGTCTTAAACATTAATTCCTGACATGAGCAATTTTAAGGCTTTGCCCTTGTCATCAAGACAGTGAATGAGGTAGTTCTGACATCTCTGAATTTCTGCCTCTATGCTTCTACTGCTATGCTAACAAACTCTGCTTGCCTTTCAATTTCTAATTATAAGTATGAGAGGAAAAGTATGAGGAAACCTTACCATGTCTTAAAATAATTACATGAGAATAAGCCTTCTATAACATACTGAGACTTGTTTCGCAGTAAACATGCTAATAATTATATTAAATTCTTGTGCTATTCAAAGCACTGGAAAAGGGGTTTCATAACATGTAAGAGCACACACAAGGCACCTTTTTTCGAATCATTAAGCAGTTGTGTCTTTTGCAAGGTTTGTGCAACTTTCTTGGAAACTGTTCATTTGTGCACAACCTCTTGGATCTTATCTGAGATGCTTGCATAGCACCAATGCTGTAGCAACTATGTCCTGATAGAAGTTTGGTAAGCAAGCACCTGTAAGGTTGAAATATCGATCACTCAATTTTATTTTGCTCTTTGGTCAACATAAAATATAGCCCAATACAAAGTTAATCTCAACAATATAAAATATTTCTGTAACATGGAAACAACCTATAATGTTAGATGATTATAACATAAAACTAATTTACTATAAGATACCTATGAGAGTAAGGGTTATAATCTGGTTAATACAAGTATATACATAAAATGTGTTTACTATAAAGTTCCTATGACATTAAAATCTATAATCTATAAAAGTAAGTAAGCCTATAAATAGTAAGTTTGAAATAAATGACTAATAAGCTCTTTGACATGGATCATATATCATTCACAAACTAAATATAAGTAAAAAATAAATGTGTTTGCCTTTTTTACCTCTTACCTTATGGAGCCACTCTGAAGACATATAGGTGTAAGATGCTTATCCATAGAGAAGCATGCATGATATTTCTCCTTGGGCTGTCTCATACTAGGTTTCAGGGCTTCAAGTATCTCCACGTTTTCCAGGTTCTTTTCATGGCATTTATTCACAGTCTGACAAAAACTTCATCATATGAAATGTTTAAGTAGGCATATAATATCTGGTCTGCAGAAAAACCAGACAACCCCTAGATATTACCAGAGAGATACCAGATACTCATCTAATGGTCACTGGATTCTTGCAGCCCAGATACGTCTCTAGTTAAAGATTCAAGGACTACTTTTGTATGTTGAATAAAGATGAAGTTGTATGGAATTTTCGTAGGTTACTGCTGGGAAAGAATAGTGTGGCACTTTTCTTAGAAAATAACAGTTATGAGTGGCTACACAGCCAGTACTTTGTTTTTGCCCACCCACCTGGGGGAGGGCAAGTAGGTGGGTGAAGACCATGCTAAGATAGTTGGATGATATGCCCTTCTACGCTTGATGGAGAAGATGGTACCACCATCCTGCTACCTTAACTTGGTCTTTTTTTCTGTTGAATGCCTTTGTATATCTGTGTCTTTAAACTTCTGTAAGCTGAATGTTTAAATTGGGGAAGGAAGAACCATTTTTCTTGAACACTACTTGTTGATAGTCCTTTGTATTTTATGTATAGTGTAGCTTGAAATTACAAATTTAATAGGAATTATTAATTCCTAACAAATTAACTGAAGTAACCGATTGTGATTATTTATACAACTTATTATTTATATACTAGTCACATTTTCAGATGTTTGAAATAAACTATGTTCTGTAACAAAAAACTTTATTCTTTATTCACCAATAGCAATGAATAATACTCAGATGAGTTTAGTATATTTAATTTAAACTTGACATATTACAGTACACATTCTAATTACCTTGAAGTGGAAGAGAGTTCTTAATAGCATTCACACAAGCATTCTTGATTTATCCAGTCTCTGAATAAATGTATAGATGCAAATTTGCAGCTTCAAGTTTGGCATATGTATATATCAAGATTGTACAAAATTGCTCCATGCTGAAGTGTAACATAGGTTTTGTCCTTCCCTTTTCAACCAGATGAGCGATGTAAAGAGATTGAAACCACGGTTGAGTGCTATTCTTTTTAAGCTTCAGTTTGAGGAACAAGTGAATAACATCACGCCTGATATTATGGCTGTCAGCGCAGCCTGTGAAGAGATAAAGAAGAGCAGAAGTTTCAGTCAGCTTCTGGAACTAGTCCTGTTAATGGGAAACTATATGAATGCTGGATCGCGAAATGCACAGACTTTTGGATTTAACCTCTGTTCCTTATGTAAAGTGAGTGCTTCAGCAAACTATGGGTGTGGAATCTGGTGCTGTAGTCATGCCCTTTACATATTGCTGACGCTGTTTATGCTTCTTTTTTTGCAAATACAGTACTTGTAAATATCTCTTCTGTCTACCAACTGCGACAGAGTTTGCACATGAATGTTTATGCAATTAATGTTTATGTTTCTCATTCAGTGAAGCAGACAGGATGAATGTGGTTTTAGTGAATTACGATTGCTCATTTTCTCAGTTAAAAATGCTGCTGCTACCTAGAGCAAATATGTGGATTTGAGTAAATTAGTAGCCTTTCCTAAAGTTGGGAAAATGGAGAAGAGGCAGGGTCAAGAATGAATGAATGGATGCTGAGTAAGTGCAGATGGAATGCAAAAGTGAATGACCAGTATGAAAGAAGCATGTTGAGGTGGCTTTGGTTATCCTAAGTTTGAATTAGGATCAAATCACAAAACAAGCATATGAAGGGAGACTGAATGGATTGAGAGAAAGAGGAAGATTGAGAAGGTGGTGGCTGAATGGAGTTGGTAAGATCCTCAAAAAGATAATGCATGAGCTGGTGTATGGACGTGGTGGAAGCAAGGATGGCTTGCAAAGATAGAAAAGTATGGATTGCTATAAGGAAGGCACTGATGTGCTGCCTAGATTGAAGTATATTTCACTTTCTTTCTTCATACGTTTACTTTCTTTGGTGTACTCTTTCTGTGCTTTGCTTTGTGAGAGCCAGAGAGCCGGTTTGGTCTAGTGGTGAAGGCCCCAGGCTAGAAACCAGGAGACCGTGTGTTCTAGTCCCGCCTTAGGCGTGAAAGCTGGCTGGGTGACTTTGGGCCAGTCCCTCTCTCTCAGCCCACGACATCAGGCTTGGTTGGTCAATTCCTGTCGCAACCAACGGATCAGCATTTGGTTGTTCCAAAAAAGCAGACCCTTTCCCTGCAGGAAAACACTAGGTAGGGGGGAAAATAAAAGTTCTTTCTGTGCTTTGCATAACATTATGTACCCCACATGTTAGTAGTATATTGGCAATAAAACTCAGAACCTAAATAATATTAAGGTTTCAATTGAGCAAATAAGCACATTCTCAAGGCTTCAGGTTTCTAAAGCGCAGAGTATTTTGAGGGAAATTTGAAATATATCTGCCTTAACTTTGTCTTCAGAGATTACGGACTGATGTTCACACTGGATACAGTAGCATCCGCAATGTGTGTATGTGTGTGCATGTTGTATTCAAAACAGGTGAAAAGGCATGTGCCATCTTCCCCCTTTTGACTCCCCCAATGGATGCCACTAGCTGGATGTGTACCTTTTGGGTCAAGTTACAGAGTGATGGGCATCTTAATATCATCCCCACAGGTGAATTTTAAACTTAGGTATCATAATTCATCTCTCAATGTACAGCCTCTTTTCTTTCCTGATAGAACTCAAAGAAACTTATGAGTTATCAGATAGTCTCCATTCTAAGACCTGTCTACACCCCAAGTCATGTTTAACTTGTGGTCTGAATTCAGTATTAAATCTAATGCTGAGTTAGAGAATAAAAAGTGAGCATGTAGTAAGATGAAACTGAAATACATTAATTCTTCTAACTCTGAATTTATTGTTGCCTAGTTAAAGGATACCAAATCAGTTGATCAGACGATAACACTGCTTCATTTTCTGGTTGAAATCTGTGAAGAAAAGTATCCTAATGTTTTGAGCTTTCTTGAAGACTTGCAGCACTTAGACAAAGCAAGTAGAGGTCTGTATTAAAATTGATCGTTTTGTTTTGTTTTGTTAAACTCTGACCAAAATGAATGATTTCCGAATGGACAAGTTTAACTTTGCAATATGCATTAACCTCTGCCTGCAGTTAAGAATTTCCATTCACAGCTATTTGCATTTCTTTCAAGATGATTTTCCCTTATCTTACATTAGCAGGGAATATTTAAGGGGAAAGTGATTGTGTTTCATATCACACCATCCAAAGTACAAGAGTGTTACAATACAACAAGCAGCAAATTGGGGATTAAAATGTTCTTCATGGATTCCATACATGCCTTTGAAATAAAAGGTTAAAAATTACAAGGCTGGAGCAAAAGGTTTCAAGAAATTAAATCTGAAATCTGATTTTACCTGTAGTCATATTTTCTAAATATCTATATGATATTTTCACACTACACATTGTTTTATCTTGCCTCTTTTAAATCTTGCATTTGTTCTACTCCTCCCTGTGACACATCCAAGAAATGCTTTGCAGACGCAACATCTTTGTGCATTTGTTTCATCTCGAAGTTTTTCTATTTTATCTTTTCATTTAGAAAGAAAGCAGGCGAGTGATAATGCCTACAAGTAGAAGGAATAGTTTTGTGGCAGTGAAACCAGTAATCAGCTAGCGTAGATGTTTCATTTCTTGTTAGTCCCTATTGATTGGTTGGTTGGTGGGCCTTTGTTGTTTGTTAGTTTCCTGGTGTGAATAAAATTGGAATCATAAAAAGACTCAGATTCCTTAAAAAAATTGAGATGGAAAGCTTGAAATCCATGACAGTATGTTATTGTTGTAAGAGAATATTCTGACATCCATAGGTATTTTAGAAACTTTCCATATACAGTACATTCTGAAAGGATTATCTAATTGACCATTCCTGCACTATTTCCTGTTGCAGGCACTTCATGGATGTTGGCATTTGGTCTCACAGGTTCATCCACTTTAAAGAGATAGTAGTGCTATGGGATAGCTCAGGATATAGGTGATATTCTGATAAGGAATAGTGACTTTTGATTTGCTGATGGTCAAAGAATTAGGTATTTCAGGACATTCAAGATACCCTACCGTGAATCAGACTCAACAGATTTGTAGCGAATTGGGAAAAAAAATTACTAGAGCTAACACGTCAACTGGAAGATCTCAAGTAGGTCAGATCAGGATAGTGGGTATATGAGGTCAGGACCTCTACCCAAATGTATACCCTAGCTTATGTTTGAGTCCTGGAAATAATAATATATTTGTAGGTGATAGATAACTGTCTTTTTAGACACAAGGTCTCTTTAGAAAACATTCTTCCTCTTAGGATGAGTTCCATGGGTAGAATTGTATTTATCTTACTATCTTTGAATGTTTTGAAGCCATCTTTGATTTCTATGATGCATGTCTATAATCCTGAATTGGCCATGAAAAAGGTTTTCATTTCTTAAAGCAGTAGATGCATGTATGCATTATCTTGTTTTGATTAAAGTAACTTGTTTATGCTTTTACTAAGTTTTTAGTCTGGTAATTTATGAAACTGGAGTAGGCTGTGTATTAATTTATACTTAAAAATATTTTATTAATCAAAGATTTATTTGTATGTGTGTGTGTCACATGCAATTAGTTTCAGTAGAGAGCTTGGAAAAGAGCCTGAAACAGATGGAAGGGCAGCTCAAACAACTTGAGAAGGATTTGGAGACCTTTCCTCAATCTGAAGATACACGTGACAAATTTGTGACAAAAATGTCCATATCCTTTTGTTGTTGTTAAATAACTTATATCACTTTGTTTTTGAAAGAGATTTTAAATGTATTTGCCTAACTTATATTCTACATACAGTGCTCGGTTTTGACAACTCTAGTCTTATTCTTTAAATTAGAAAGAATCTAAATCCTACATCTTTCTGCTGCCATCTGGTGATAGTCAGATGGTGGCTTTGTGAGAATTGAGGGGGAACTCTCCAGTGAGGGATACCTGTTCAGTTTGCCCATCTTGAATTTTTGTTTGAGCTAAAGCTGGTTAGTTTTTTGTACAAGTAACACTTTAATTTCCTCAAGGTTTTAAAGGATATCTAAAATAATTTTTCTGCTTGACATAAACTATCCTAATTCCTTCCAGTAGTTCCTCTGCTGGGTTCTGCTTGGTTTTGATTCTGCTTCTTACCTACAAAGGGTGTTCTGTATCCCCTTTGCATGAAAGGAAAACCCTGGAATGAACACACGTGAAGCGGATAAAGTGTCATGTTTTTGTTGGCCCACATCTGAGGTAGTCAGTCTACGGAGAGCCACCGAATATCTATTCTCTGGCTCCTAAACTCCCAGGTTTTCAGTCACTTTTAGCAAGTAACAAAATAGTTATGCTAAACAGCTGTTAGGCATAATATGCTTATGAAGGTTAAGAAGGAAGGAAACTGTTGCTGAAAATGTCATCTTCAACACCTTTAGTTTTATCATCATGTTGCTACTGGGGTCTGAAATAGTAAAATTGAGATTGCTGTTACAAAAAGTCTCCCTCTGGCCTGCAGTCCGATTGTACAAAGAAGAAATCACCTGCTCCTCTTACAGTTCACATCCTCTTTCAACCACTTTTTCTTTCTTTTTCCTTCTTTTTTGTTTCCTGATCACAATCATACACTATTTTCCAAACAATTATATTGATTGCTTTTAGCAAATTATGGCACCAGAATGTATTTCCCTGTCCACTTTTGTTTTTTAGATTTTTTATCCTACCTTTATTATTTTTATAAATAACTCAAGGCGGCGAGCATACCTAATACTCCTTCCTCCTCCTATCCTGTGAGGTGAGTTGGGCTGAGAGAGAGGGACTGGCCCAAAGTCACCCAGCCGGCTCTCATGCCTCAGGCGGGACTAGAACTCACAGTCTCCCGATCTCTAGCCTGGGGCCTTCACCACTAGACCAAATTGGGTCTGTTTTAAAACAATTTTACCTGAAAGTGCCACATTGAAGATTTTTTTTCCCCCAGCAGTCAACAAGGCTTAATGATTCTTCCATTTCTAATTTGTAGAGGTTATGAGTTTAAAGTGCAAATTAGTCTTTCTAACTCTGGAATAGAATGTGAAATGTTCTTTGTTTTCATTTTAAAAGATAGTTGTATATAACAGGTAATTCCCACATTGGAAAACTTGTAACACTGCAAGCTGTTTACAATACTTTGTTCCAATACATAGTCATATGAAATATTTGCTAATTGTAACACAGACAACAGAGCCATTCATAAATGGTAAGCTTATAAAACAGAACATTATTGGAAACTTCACAAAAATACTTAAGCACTCTAAGCTAAATCCACATGTGACACTTAAACAGATGGTTTGATCTTTAAACACTGTTAAAATGTAATAGCCTCCTGTTAACATTCTCTGTAGACAGAGAATAATTGGGGAACAGTGGAATTACATTAGTTTCTAGTAATGGCTACATGCTTGCTAATTAAAAAAAATATGTCCAGGAATACTGGGGCATTGGATGTAAATGTAGGGTGATCCTACATTGCCTGCCTGCCTGCCTGCCTGCCTGCCTGCCTGCCTGCCTGCCTGCCTGCCTGCC